TCCCCTCTTCTGGTTGGGAATTCTCACCCCATGGGCTAGCACCATCTTGCTTGGGCTGAAGAGGGTGGGCTGCATCAAGTCAGTGGTGGCTTGGAGGAGGTCAGGCAGGTTGAAGGTGACTTGCTTTTGTTATGCAAAGGAGCTTTTTGCAGGCAAGCTTCATGGCCCTGACCTTGACTTCCTAAGGTAAGCCTTGGGTGGCAGAAGGCAGTGGGATGGTTGTCTCCTGGGCAGAGGCTGGGCTGCTCGTGATATAGTGAATGAGAGCACCTGCAGTGGGGATTGTTAAATGGTGTTGAATGTGATCCCATTGGGAGCCAAGTCGTCTTGCTGGAGGGAGGGAAGGAGAAGAGGAGAGCCTCCAATTTCATAGTGTTGTCTAAGGAGAAATGACCAGGCAACTTTTGGCAGTCCTGGCTGTGGCTGTGCCTGGGGCTGTAGGGTTCTTCATGACATCTTCCTTTTGCCCCATGTCGTTTCTACCTCCTTGTCTGTCCTGGGCTCCCGATCCTTTCCTTGGCTCTCCTTCCAAATACTCTCCTCCACCAATTTAGCAACAATTAGAAAAATGCTGATGTCCAGTGGGAGAAGTTACTGCCATGCTGCAAACTCACAGTTTGTGTACTGCCAGAGATGGTGCAGACTGGCTTGACTCACTTACTGACCAAACTGCTGATGGGTGTTTCTGGGGCTGGCTGGTCTCCATGCAGAACCAGTCTGACAGCCTGTAAGCTGGCCTCTGCTTAGACATGGCTTCAGACACCAGGTAGTTTGTTGCTACCAATGTGGCGCATCCTCCATCTGAAGCCCTGCCAAGCAGGGATGACTGGAGTCACGTGCCATCTTCAGTGCAGTATGGAGGAGCTCCGTGGCTTGTGGAACTCGTCTCCCTGCAGAGAGAGCATGTCTTGGTTTGGGCCGCACATTGCCCAACAGGCCATATGCATGTGGAGGCATCCCAGGGACTGCAGAGGAGTAAATTGCTCACTTTGTTTTCACAAGGAATGCTCCAGCCAGGGAGAACAGAGCAACCCTGAAAACTAAAGTGCTGCTTCTCTCCTTCTCTTTCAGGCTGGATGACTGCAATCTCTCCAGCAGTAACTGTGAGGATCTCTCCTCCATCATCAATATGAATCCGTCCCTCACAGAGCTGAAGCTGAACAACAACGAACTGGGAGATGCAGGCATTGAATACCTGTGTAAAGGGTTGCTGACACCAAGCTGTAGCCTACAGAAGTTATGGTAAAGCACCATTGATTGTCTTGCAGTCTGCGGCAGGTGAAATCATGAGGCAAACTAGCATGTGATGGTAGTAAGAGCCATGTCAATGCACCTCAGCAATTACCTAGGTCAGATGCTTGGAAAACCCCAGAAGATTTTTTTTTTAAAGTGGTATATTTACTGGAAGACTCCAGCTCGTCAGTCTGTCTTCCTTTGTCTTCCAGCACCGAGGGAAGCACAGGTAGGGTTTTCCCAGCCAAGCTAAGGCTTTCTGGAGGCTTTCTTTAGAAGAGGTAGTAGATCTTCCCCTGGCCTAGGCAGCTGGATTATCTGTTTAGGCCCCTTTAAACAAAAGGCTGACCACAGAGGGCCCCACTCTGCCATTATCACATACCTGACATTTTCACAAATGCATTTTTCAGAGGGCTCTTCTGCCCGTTGTAAGCATTTAGCACCTGGTCCAGTTTGCTCGTTCCTTTCTCTAAGAGTTAAACAGAAGGGTGTTTTCGTGACCCTTGGCGTTTCAAGAGCTGTCAGTCTTTCTGCACTCTACCAGACTGGTTCTGCCTCAAGCCTTGTCTTCTCAGCTGTGCAAGGCTAGCTTGGTTCAAGACAGCATGTTTTGCAGGGGCACCAGCACCACCTTAGAGCATTAGTTGGCTTCCCTCAGCAGCCATGGTGCGGGCGCTTTAGGCTGCTGCCCCTGCTCCTCAGTGGTGCTCAAAGAGATGCTACTTTCTCTGTCCAGCATCTCTTCTGCAGGGTACTGGGCTCCTGAGGTGGGTCTAACATCTTCATGACACTACTTTGTAAAGATCATATTTGATCATTTTTAATCAGATATGCCTGCTTCAAAGTCTTTGTGCCCACTGCAATGAAGACTCACTGACAAATAGAAGGAAAGTTGACTGTGCAGCTAGTCAAACTGCAACTTTCTGATGGGCCTTCAAGAAATAACTGTGATACTCTACTGGAAGACTAACACAAGTCATTTTTCAGAGAGTTTGTCCTAAGCTTCAAACTTCTCCAGATGCTCAAGTAACAGCTTGGATTAGCCTGTTTCAGTTCTGTAGAAACATAACTGGCCATTTTTGGGGTTCTGGTAAGGTGCCTTAGGGAATAAAAGGGCAACCAAACCCAAGTGAAACTTAGTACCACCATGCACAACACCTCTCCATTGCCAGAAAGTCTTGTGCAGTAACTCTATAAACACCCCATAGCAATATCAGCACAGTTCCTATGCTACTTCTTCCAGCCTGAGTGCCGAAGGATCAGCTTCGTAGATCCTCCTTGTAGTATACCATTAAACTTCTAAATGATATCCAGGGATTTAAGCCAAGTTGGACAAGATTTTTACTTGTAGGTACTCTGAATCGCATTTCCAGAGGGGGCAAGAAATCATATAATGACATTGCTTTATCTCTGGGATATGCCTTGTGATGATTAGAACGCTTCTATAAAGCAGCTGTGGTGCTGCTTAATGTAGGGTGGATCCTTCTCCTAGAGGCGCTATATGAGCGATTACACTGAAGGAAGCATGGGAGCTATTGTTCATGCTACAAGTATAGTACTAGCTGATAAAATATTTTGGCACACCTGTGAAATAGCAGCATTAACCTGGACATACCGCTTTCTAGAGGGTTACGCACTGTCAGTGCCATGGTGTCCTTTCCAAGCTCAAACGTCAGCGGATGCACCTCTCTGAGAAGAGGCTCCGTAATTCTGGTAGTGCATTTCCCTCACCCCAGTTGCATCTCTCCTTCAGGCTGCAAAACTGCAATCTGACGAGTGCCAGCTGTGAGACTCTCCGCTCTGTCCTCAGTGCACAGCCGTCCCTGACAGAGCTGCACGTAGGTGATAACAAACTGGGAACTGCTGGAGTGAAGGTGCTGTGTCAAGGGATGATGAACCCCAACTGTAAGCTGGAGAAGCTGCAGTAAGTAGTCTCTGGGCTTTTTTGGTCATCAAACAGGTCATGCTTGTTTTTCCTTTGAGACAAGCAGGAGTTTTGTTGCCAGATGTGGATTTCTTCCTGGTTTATCTGAAATTGTGTCATGCTTATTCATGCTGGTAGGTCTTGTGGGTTTGTAAGAGCTGGGTGTCTATTCCCATAGGCTTTGTTTAGCCCTCCTGGCAGTGGTGGCTGTTAAGGCAGGACCTCTCAGATGCCCAGGGAAAGTCTGATTGTGCTGCACTTGGTCCTTGTTTTATGGCTGAGTGGGACCCAGGTCTATTCACAGCCCCCTGCTCCTCCTGGAAGGGCTCGATGGCGAGGCTGTGTGGTGTGTTGCAATGTGAACCTTGGTCGTGTGTTCCAGGGCAGCCTGTGCATTGGAGGACTAGTGTAAAAGTGGGGTGGGTAATTAGTCTTCCTAGGGTCCCCTGGGGTCTAGTTTAAGAATTAATGCCTCTTGAAATGAGCAGGGAGATGCTGTTAAAAACTCTTACGGTTATTTATATTTTCATGTGCTGCCTGGTCTCAACTCATGTTGGCATGTTTTCTGCCCTGGCTAACACACACTTTGCCCAGCTGATGTCTTGTGGGTAGTGGGATGTGGTGAAGACGGTTGTTTTTTCCCCTGGATTTCTTTTCGTCTCGCAGGCTGGAGTATTGTGAACTCACAGCTGATATTGTGGAAGCTCTCAATGCTGCTCTGCAAAGCAAGCCCACCCTGAAGGAGCTCAGCCTGAGTAACAACACGCTGGGAGATACAGCTGTAAAGCAGCTGTGCCAGGGACTGGTGGACGCAAGCTGCAACCTAGAGTTACTACAGTAAGGAAAAGCTGGTCATCTCCAACTGCAACTAGTCCTGCTATTAGTCATGCCATCCATAAGACAGGAAAAATTGCCAGGAATGCTTGAAATTCAGGCCGCATTTCTTGCTGGCTCAGATTTCTGTAACTGGAAGCTGCAAGCAAATGTCTGGGGCTTTCAGTTTTGGGGGTTTTTGACTTTTTTTTTAGCATGTGATTCTGAGCTCACTCTCATGCCTGTTGGTACAGTGTGAGCACATACCCCAGGTTAAACTGACAATTACAAGGGGTGACTGCTCACCAGTATCTTGAGAGCAGAGGAGCAGTTGCCCTCGGTGGCTCTAGTTCTTACCCCTGAATTACCAGCCAACTAACTTTATTTATTCAGATACCTTTTTTGCTTCAAAACAGAGATGCTGGATTTGGCCTTACATCTGGGGTAAAGCCCCTTGAAGGGGTTCGGGAGATAAGCATGATTCATTTTATCTTGCCCCTGTGCTTCAGCAGGGGTTGGCTGCCAGGGTCTCACTGTGTGATATACCCAAAAGTTCCTCTTAAAAAGGACAGTTGATATAAAGGGGGAGTTTGGCAAAAACAATTCTTGCATCAATGGATGTGAGTGGCTGGGTCAGAGTAAAAGTGCCCTGCAGCCTCGCGGAGTGCTGGAGCAGTGCGTTGCCTCGCCCAGAGCCTGTCTAGGATACCTGTATCGTCTGTGAGCCTTGCAGGGTCTAGCAACGCCCAGCTGAGCTGCACTGGTTTGCAGCAAGGAACCAGCCCATAGTCCCCTTTTCAGTCTGAACTGGGGGTGTTGGGACGTATCGAACACAGTGGGTCTGGAGCAGCAACTCCCAACTGTGCTTTTTTCTGCAGCCTGGAAAACTGTGGCATAACCAGCGATAGCTGTCGGGAGATTAGTGCTGTTCTCAGTAACAAGTCATCACTGATAGATCTCTCTGTGGGGGATAACAAGATCGGGGACTCCGGTCTGGCTCTGCTGTGCCAGGGACTGATGCATCCTAACTGCAAAATCCAGAAACTATGGTAAGGCTATGCAGAGTTACTTAAATCCCTCTTGCAGCCTCTGAGCTATCTACATGCTGCTCCTGGTTTGCTCCTAAACAGAAAGTTTCTCAGCTACACCCCCTAGTGAAACATGAATGTGTCTGCTACAAATTAGTTACTTCTCAAAACTGGGTGGAGGACACCATGAAGGAGTAGGACAGCACTGGAATTGCTTGGATCAAATTCTGGGGAGAGGGTAAATGGCAATTTGTGATGGTGTTGTCTCGACTTCCTGTTGAGTTATCTGTCTATTAGAATTGCATGTTCCTATTTCTTTTTTTTGTCTTACAAACAGAGCTTTTGGTGCAACAGATGGAGAGTAAGGAGAGAGCTCTAAGTTATGATGCATGAATGGATTTTTTAACGGATAAAGACAATGAGATGATGTAACCAGAAATTCAGAATACTAAAATAGGACTCTCTTTTGTAATCTAAGTGCTTCTGGGGGGAAAATAATATTTTGGTCTTCCCTGCAGGTTATGGGACTGTGATCTCACAAGTGCTAGCTGTAAAGATCTCTCCAGACTCATCAGTACAAAAGAGACCCTCACAGAGATCAGTCTGATAGACAATAACCTGAGAGACTTGGGGATGGAAATGCTGTGTCAGGCACTCAAGGATCCCAAATCTAAACTCCAGGAGCTATGGTGAGTTGCTGTCAAGTTTCACGTACCTGCTGCCTTCTTTGGAGACCTCAGTGAAGAAAAATGTAGGTGAAATAATGCCCACCAGATAGATAGATCCTTGGTTGCGATGGTTCCATGACCAACTCATACTAGTTGTTACCTAAAGGATTTAGACCTGTAGAGCTAAAGGGATTTGTATTTCTAAAAGCATAGACACTTTAAAGATCTACCCCATAGTCATCCTCTTTATAAGCAATATGAGACCAAGCATCACTTGCAGAGCTTCTGCCTAATATGCAGAAGCCTAATAATGCCTAATTGTGCAACAAATGGCAGCTAAGAGACTTTTGAAGTTTGAAAGGCCTCATGTAAATACAAAATGAGTGCTGTGATCAGATATCTCAGGTTTTCCACTGGATCCGAGCTCTCTCATGATCAGACAAAAGAAGGCTGTAATGACATAAACCATTCTCAGCATCCTCTTTGCTGACAGTGTTACCTTTTAGGCTGGCATGGTCTGGTGTCATGTGGCTGGGAAAGGAAAATTGTTCTTTCACATAGAAGTTGAACAAGCACCACTTGAACTTTCCTGCATTGCAAGTCCAACTCCTGCCCCCAGCTGGGTTCTTCCCCTGCCCTGATGGCCTGGGAGTTGATGAGGTGCCTCAGGAGTGCATGGTGGAGCTGAGAGTGACTGTGAGAGCAGCTTCATCTCTGATCATTCCTGTGCTTTATGGACAGGTGCCTTTCCTAGGTGCAAGACTGACATCCCAAATATAAAAGAGTGGGAGAGGTGCTGCTTAGAAAGGATCAAGCAGATAGGAGGGTTGAGAGGAGTGCAGTGATTGTGGGAATGCTTTGGTTCCTCTGTTCCCACTGTCCAGGCTCCTGTGAAGCAAATGTGAAGAAGTAAACGGTGCCTGATACTCTCTAGATCCCCCATCTAGATTTCATGTCACTTTTGCCTTGCAGGATTAGGGAGTGCGGGCTCACGACTGCTTGCTGCAAGGCTCTCAGCTCTGCTCTCAGCATGAACAAGCACTTGAAAGTACTGCACATGGGCGAGAACAAGTTGGGAGATGCAGGTGTTGAACTCATGTGTGAAGGGCTGCTGCACCCCAACTGCAACATCCAGTCTCTGTGGTAAGGTGCACCTTCAGAAGTTGTCTTCTCTCTTGCTGTGTTACCCTTCCAAGAATGGCATGCAGAAAGGGCAAGATAGCACTAGATGGTAGCACGGTACTTTTTTGCTCACATGAAACAATTCACACCACAAACTGATGTTTAACTAGCCCACTAGCAAGTAAATGGAAGCCACAAGTGCTTCCGTGTATCCTGTCACTCATGGTATCTACAAGTACAGGCTGTCACCCATGCGACATAGCTGTCCACAGGCACTCTCCCAGGTGCAGAACTGAAAGTTCACGGTGCAGTGTATCTTCAGGATGTAAAGCAAAGTGTAGGGAGGCTGGAGGGATCTTGCTTTGTTCTGCAAGCAGCTTGCTGTAGAGCTTCCTGTGCCCTTCTCTGAACTTGCCCACAGGGCCCCTCTCAGGTGGGACACAGATGGAGGAACTTCTGGGCAAGGTCTGGCACGTTAATTCCCATGCCTACCAGTCGCAGTGCAAAGACTGCCTGAATTCACTGGTTGCCTCCTGCTTTCCATAGTCTCTATGTGTGCCAGCACAAGCGCTTGTCCAGCCTCACCAGTAGCAGCATCACCTCCAGCCCTGTGGTGGGACTATACTTCCTCATCTGCCAGGCAGGCACCGAGTTCTGGACTGATGTGGCTGTGGCCTGCGTGATGCTCAGGCCACCGTGCTTGTCTCCTCCACACTGTTTGACAAAAGTTGTAGCTGTGCTTAAATGCCCAAGTCTCACAGTGAGTGAGTTGAGCAGTTGACTTGTGGGAGACATCAGTGAGACCTGAAGTCTCTGTCCAGAAAGACATGTTTGCTGACCAGTTAAAGCTACTTGATTCTCTGCTGAGAGGTCTCAGTTACCCTTTTTAGAGAGATGGTTGCAAGTGTCAAGTAATAAACTTCAGGGATGATTTATGATCAGTTTAAACCAAAGAGAAGATTATGCATGATGTTGAAGTTGGGAATATCTTCTTGGGGTTCCTTCTCCCCCTGTAGCCACACACTGTTACGCTTTAGGGAGGTCTTCTGTGTGTTCAGCAGTCACCATGAGGATGGCTTTCTCTGTGGGAAGACCACAGATCAGCCCCTGCAGATGTCTCGGAGATGCCAGCCTAATGGGGATCTATGGTCCATGCTAGGGATGTCCGCACCTGCTGCCCAAGTGTGGGCTGGTCTCTGGAGCCATTGCTTACTGCACTGGCCTCTCCATCCTGTCCTTGCAGGCTGGGTAACTGCGATCTCACGGCAGCCTGCTGTGCAACCCTCGCCACCATCATGGCTACCAAGCAGTGCCTGACTGAGCTGGACCTGAGCTACAACTCTCTGGAAGATGAAGGCATCAGGAAGATCTGTGAGGCCTTGAGGAATCCCAGCTGCAACATGCAACAGTTAATGTGAGAGATGTTTGTGATCCTGCTTGTGTTCCCCATGGCAGGTGGTGAGATCCAGCGAGCTGGGGGGCTGCAGGGAGGGGGCCACAAGCACTATCTCTCTGGGAATTGCACCTGAGGGCAGCTGGTGACTCTGTGGGTCAAATGCCACTGCATGTTGCAAAACACTCCTTGTCCCTTCCAAGTGATGTGACCACAGTGCCTTGATCTGCTTTGGTCCATAGGGCCCAAGAACAAGGACAAGGTGGTGCTAGGGAGGGTCCTATGTTGTAAGGCATGTTTCTGGCTATTGGGTCAGAGTCTCCAACCTAGATGGGGCCCTTCCCCTACCAGCCATTTGTGTGTCTTTCTCTTTCCATAATGGGAGGATGATCACTAAACCATCCTGCCTTTTTGTTTGGTTGTAGTTTATATGACATTTTCTGGAGTTCTGAAGTGGATGATGAACTGAGAGCCCTGGAAGAGTCCAAGCCTGAAGTGAAGATCATTTCATGAGTGGTGTCTGCCCACAGAACAACGTCAAAGCAATGTCTTTTTCTTAATCTGAACTTTTTCATACATAAAGCTATTAACTTAATAGAAAATTTGCTTGTACTGAAAACATTTGTGGATTCCCTGAGTGGGTGTCCAGGGAGCTGATCAACCTTCTGTACATCTCTGGATGTACTAACTCCAAGGCTCTTGAAAGCATTGTACATTTTCACTGCAGCATTACTATCCTTGAAATAACCAATTACTGGGCATCTTCTACAAGTGGGTCTCTACCCTTTAGGAGTTCTTTAATCCTGTAATCCCTTCTAATACATAAGGTCAGGGTTTAAAGAGAGCCCCTTTCCAAAGGCAGGAGGAGGACTACCTTTCCATATTATTACTGGGTGGTGCTTTTGCCAGGTCTCTGGGGAAGGATCTCCAAAAAAAAAAAAACCCAAATGTTTTTTTGATCTAAAATGGAGCTCTCCCCTGCCTCTCCCTAGAAGAGTTCTTGGAAAAGCAGCAGTGGCCAAGGCACTAGAAAAGACAGAAATGAGCAGGTATTCAGCTATGTAACTTCAAAGTTCGTGTCCCCTGAAAAGTGATTTTCTTACAAATTTAGATTCTGTGTGCATTTCTGCTAGTACAGGAAATGATGAAATAGTTTGATGTGCTTGCTCTGGCAAGAGTGGTTCTACAGGAACTTTATTAAAGTCTGTTTGCAAATAATTAAATGCTTCATTTTTCTACTTATTAAAAAGAAAAATAAGATAAATCTGTATATTTCTCCTTTAAGCCCAATCCATCAGTTCTGAACTACAATACCACTAATACCTTGTTTTGCATGTTTGCTTTTGGTAAGTTTCTAGCTGAAGCGTGTCAGGAGAAGATCTTAGTCAAAGGCTTCAGTGGACAGCAAGCCTAGAAAGCGTTCCCCTGGTTTCAGGGCCGCTGGGGTTTTTTGCCCAGTCAGAGTTTTAATAAAATTTGTTCCAAGGGAAAATGCAGCTGTTGCATACCTAAAACATGAAAGAATGAATGTAGCTTTAAAAATGTTGAAGACAAACCTGCCATCACCCTGGGGTGGCTTTGCAGGAGGAATGCTGAAAAAAAATCCCATTCCCCAGCATCTCTTTCTAGAGCAGTGACTTGGTGTTGCATTCACTTGCAAATCCTGCCTGGGCATCCAAGTTAAAAGTGTTCTCCGGGCTTTGGCTTGTGATGCTCACATGTTCATCTCGTAGAGGCTGTAACTGGCTTTTCTTTGACTTAAGGAAAGCTTTGACACCTCTCAAATGGTGCCCAAGAAGTAGCTTACTTACATCTTCAGGCAGGTGTGAAGGATAGGATTTGGTTTTTCCTCAACACACATCTCTCTCGAGGCTGCCCAAAATGCTAAAAAAATATTCCTTTTTGCTTCAAGAGCTATTTGGTCTTCCCCAGTGAGGGCAGAAGCAGTTCTGTGTTGAAAGACCTGTCCATCCTGCAGGGCTGTTATATAGGCTTTTTACACACATGGTCTCCTGGACTTGGCCTGCATGGGCTCATTTTAGGCTGGGGGAGAAGACAGGGCTGAAGAGGGGCAAGAACACATGTAAAGGGAGTCACAAAAATCAGGCATCTGGCTGGGTGTAAAGATGGCACTCTAAAAAAAAAATATTAGAAGTAGATTTCTGAGAGTACCTGGTGTGGGTAGAAGAGGATGTCTGGGAGAGAAGCAGAAGTGCTCCTGGGCTTCTCCCAAAGCAGGTGGTGATCAAGAGAATTGAAGGTGAGATAATTTGCAAGCAAATCCTCTTTCAGCCCCATCTAGCAGTCAGGATGGACTGAGGACTGTGTCAACCAGAGTCAAACCTGGCCCAAACTAGCCAGCAGCCATGCATCAGCAAGATGCGTTCCCTGCAGCATCCCCCATGCCATCCCCCAGGGGGTGGCACTCTCCCCTCACGCTGCAGCGCCAGACACTGCTGCTGCTGGCCTCCAGCTCTGTGTTGCCTAGAAAATGCCTCTTCTTCCTCTGCTGCAGGCGGAGGAGCACTGAGACTGAGATGGGTCTGCCACCATGGCCCCACTGCAGGCGTTCAGCACCTGATGGTGTGCTTCTACCTGGGGATAAACACCATGCCTGCCTTGGTTCCTGGAGTGGTTTTGCATTCCCTGCAAAAGTGTGGGCAGGGTTTAGAAAGGTCTCTGCAGCACATGCCACCTGTCCAGTTGCCAGCTTCAGCAAGAAAAACCACAGGAGCCTTATTTTGCCATCTCAGTGAGCTCAGAGCACCTCAGACCAGGCGAGCCCAGCAGAGCCCTGCAGGTCCACCCAGGATGGTGAGGAACCTGTGCACTCAGATCACATGCTGTGCTTTAGGACAACGTGAAGTCTTGTGCTTGGCTCTAGAAACCAGCTATAAATCCTGGGATCCAGGAGCAAGCTACTGCAGCAAGAGACACTTGTGCTCATAAACAAGAGTCAAGCAAGGATTTGCATTCCTACAAACTCATCTGGTTTTATTCATCTATTAGTTGGTCTAACTCACTTCCCTGACAAACCTTGTCACAACCGTGAACTGGGGAGAGTTGAAAGACAGATACATTAGTTCCTGCATTTTAGACATGTGGGTCTTCACCATTTTAAGCTAAAAGGAATAGGCAGTAATTGAGTCACAAACCTTTCATGTGGACTAGATATTATGCTGGCAGTCAAAGCCTTGCTCATACCAAGTTGACAGCTGAAGCACCCAGCAGCTCCTGGGATGTCGCAGTCACATTCTGGTTCTCAGGCAGGGCAAATAGTTGGACCCACTCTACTGGTGGTATGCAAATACTGACTTTCTACTAGCAAGGGTTGAGTTTCACCTAGTATAATGAAGCTTAAAGATAAAATTACGCAGCCAAAGTAAAAGGTTAAGAGATCCAGGTATGATTTTCAGCTTTAAGCAAATACTAGAAGCTTATAAACCATGCCCCTTGAGATCAAATAGCAGAGAACTTAAATCCACAGAGAGCAGGTTTGTATTTTAGGTATCAGTAACAGCAACAGTAGTTTAGAGGCATTAGAACTTCAGGTTTCTGCTAGTAGTTTAGGATTCTGCAATAAACTTAATTTTTCACTCATCACAGGATATGATCTCAAGAAGGGAGATCACAGTGTTCCTGTTAACATCGCCAGAAGCAGTTAAGCAAACATTCCTGGCCTTGCAAACAGGTTATACCCCAACTAAACCTGCTACTTGCTTTGGAAGAGCGTCATGTCACAGCTGCTCTGGCATCCCTGACTGCTCTTTTGCTGCCTGGGCTTTTCCAGAAGGAGCTCCAGCACAGCAAGGCCCCGAGGCAGCAGCTCCAAATAATACAGATGTTAACATCAATTTCAGTGCTCCAGCTGAATCTAAAAGGGGAAATCAAGCCAGCTGTGTTGGAAGAGTTAACCACAGCTCCCCCCTTTCTTTGAAAACGGGGCTTGCCATCTGAGTCACTCCCAATCCTCTACTAAAGTAGTCTGAAAGGGAGTAACTTTTTGCCTGAATTCCCCTTTTGCACAGAAAATTATGATTTTTCATTATCATTTCTAACATATCTCTTATTTTCTGTGTGCTTAGCTCCTCAGTCATCACTTCCTCCCCAGCATCTCCTTTTCATTTCATCTTTTTTACCAATTGGGAAAACACACACCGACAGAAAAAAAACAAACCCAAAACTAAGGAGGAGAGTCCCTTTCCCCATAGGGCAAGAAGAGTTTCGAACTGCTTTTCCCATTCCACTGCTCACAGCTGCACATGAACTACAGACATCTTGCATTTCTCTTCCTAGGGCACAGCATCACAACCCCCTCCTTCCTCACTTCTCCCACTCATCTGGCACCCACACCATAAATGCTAGCTAGCCAGTCAAATGCATTCCCAGGTTGGCAAGGACTTACAAATTGACAGCTTTATGAATATGTGAGGTTAATCTTGCCTCTCTCTCAGCTAAAGCCAGCTGCATCCACCAAGGGAGGAAACACAGCCCCCAGCAGGAGGAAGAGACTGTGCTGGGTCAGATGCCTGCACAGATGATAAGCCTTTCCAAGCTAGAGCGCAAATCGGTGGCACATGGGATTCAGGATCATGTAGCTGGGGGGTGGAAAGTTTAATCAGCCGGTATTGTGTCATGATCTATCTCATTTGCAATTAAAGGCAGGTATGCAGTGGGAGAGGTGAATTGCTGGCAATTCCTCAAGCTCTTGAAGATGTTCCAGAGCGGATACTCAAAGTCCTAAGACAGGCTCCCCTGCCATTAGGCTGGCACACAGCAGCCCACAGAGGGAAATAAAGCACCAGCACAGCTGTTATTTGCACATGCACCCTACAAGTAACTCATGTAAATCATCCGGTGCTCCTCACTGTTTCCTGCCTCACTGGTGATTATCACATCCCAAGAACCAATATGTGTCATCAGGACAGTGCACAGACCCAAAGTATTCTGCAAAGCCAGCACTTCCCACCCTTACTTCTTTACACCGTGCTTTGGTTTTGCCTTGTTTCATACTTCACTTAGATGCTTAATTCAGACCCTAATTATGCTTTCCAGATTATTAAAGCACCTCTGCTTCTGGGTACGGAAATACTCCCCAGGCTATATTGTAATTGTCTAGGAAACATTGCCTGCCTGCCATGACTCCTAGGTGTAGCTTAGCTAATTGAGCTCCTTGTAGCTGGGTTAGATGCATCAGCTCATCTCTAATGTGCAGTAACCGCAAATCAAGCAGTGAGGCTGCACTTGGAGATAATTAGAATATAAAGCACCAAAGAGTTTTCTCCGTGGCAGCTCCCACAAAGAGGGAAAAAAAGACTGTCTTGTTCATCCCTGACTGCAGTGGGGAGCTGCTGCTTTCTTCACAGCAGGCTCCCAGGGGATCCACTCCCTGTTTCATGCCACAGCATGCAAAGCAAATCTAAATTAGACATGCTACATGGCATGCATGTCTCCTAACTAAACTACAGCAGGATCAAACATACCTATAATCCCAACGAGGTGGGTTAGCATCAGCTAATGAATGCTCTGGGGAAGAAATCCAGCTGGATTTAGATGGCTTAATAGAGAGCAGGCAGAGCTCCCAAGCCTGGAGAGACAGAACAGGACTGATCCAAGGCTTCTCAGGGAAAATCATTAAAGCCCAGGTGGGGTAAAGAGTGAAAACCAGATGAAGGATGATGAAAAGCACTGGAGGATGGTGTTCTACTTCCTTTCTCACCTCCCTCCGCAGTTCTTGGACCTGTAATCTCCATGTAACTTAGCACCATCTTCTGAAAGGGTGACCCACTCCTGCTTGTCAGATGGCTCATTGCCTGTAAGTGTTTAAAGCATCTTTAGGCTCCTGGATTTCATGCCTGCCAGCCCTTCAAGTG